CCCTCCCACCCGGCCTCGGCCCTTCCGCCGAATCGCCGCCTCCGCCTCCAGGGCCACCCTCCTGGGGACACAGCCGCCCTGGCCCCCTCCAGGGTCTGCTGTCGCCTTCCCCTCCCGGCGCTGGGCTGGGATGGTATCAGATCTCTGCGCACCGTCCGAAAGGTGCCCTGTGCCTGGGGTTGCTGTTTTACACTGCTGATTGGCCCAGGAGCCAGGGCCTAAGCCTCGCTTACAGCGTCCGGCCTTTAGGGCAACATGGGCTTCCCAGTCCGGAGGCCCGGAGATCAGCCTTAGAGATTCCCCCCTTCTCTCCCTGGCTCTCAGCCCGGGTCTCCATGCTGGCCACAGTAGTGAGGCTGAGATGGGTCCCTGCCTGCTATTTCCTTTTTATCCAGAGAATGTCATTAGAGGACTTTTAGAAGTGACACTTTAACCAACAATGTTACCACTCTTGTCTTCTTGTGACCAGCCTATCGATACAGAAAGACCCTGTTTGCCAGACGGGGGTGCGTGCGAGGGGGTCACTGAATCCTGCCCAACCCCACTGGTACACACAGGGATCAAGTATGGAATCAAACATGCCTTCTCCCATGCCCTTTCTATTTTAAAAGACTTATCAGTCACATGGCTCCCATAATTTTCCTCCATCTCACCCCTCTGTCCATCCTGCCCTTCGACTCCTATGGCCAGAGAGCTCCCTTCAATGTCCCAACTCCTCTGCGTCCCCATTGTTGAAGCTGTCTGCTACCCATCACCAGCACAGGTCTCCTAAAACCCAAGATGTGGCCTGTGCAGGGCAGTCCCTCCCCCAATAAATCCACCGGGCATATGCCCAGCTATCTACCATTGACACATGTCATCATTTTATGTACATTTCCACTTCACAAACCAAGCAGAAAGTTGCCTACTATTCCACTACCTAACAACTCCGCTCCAGTACCTACCCCGGTTACCATACCTGTTTCTCCTACCTTCCAAAGGATCAGATGCAAACTAATCAACATTTGGGTTTCTACCTGTATAACCAGAAGAAGGATGACTTGTACTGCATCTGGGCTCTATCTGCAGAAGTTAGTAGGTGAACAGAAAAACCTAACTCCACTACTTTGTAATTGGAAAAGCAATACTAACATCTCTTTTAGATACTTAATTAGAATTGACATCTAGCTGCACGAGCATATACCCATCTTAGCACTGAAAGCTGTCTACATATCTGCTTCCTCTATTAGTATATGAGCCACATGAGGGCAAGGAAGGGGTCTGACAAACCATGGTGTTCTCAGCATCTTGCATGGTGCAGAGCATATAGTACATGTACAGTGCCAGCCATATAATACGTGTATATTTAATAAATGTTTGTAGCATAAATGAAAGAACAGGAGGAAAAGAACTAGAGATACCTTAGTTCTGTATTTTATAAATCTAAATTGACATTCTGACAGCAACACTTGGGCCACTCACTCTCACAGACAGACATGAGCTGTGAGAAGACTGGAGCGTTTTCAATCAAGACTGGCCTGTAGGGCCAGGGATTTAGCTCAGTAGATCCCCTGGTACCAAAAAACAAAAGACTGGCCTATGAAATATAGGCTTCAAATTTTCTGTAGCTGCAGGAGTTTAAAGGAAGGAAAGAAAATCCACAGAGATTAGTGGTCACAGGCCCTGCTAGGAATCACCATTGTTTACAGAGAAAATACTCTTAAGGACTCAGTTTCCCAGCCTAGGTTTGGGTGGAGGGAGCACAAGAATACTAGCTACTGAGTGGCACATTCTTGATATAGTGTTCACACTTATTTAATAAAATGTCGAATTTGTCAAGGGTGGTGGCACATGCCTGTAATCCCAGCACTCTGGACACTCAGGCCAGAGAATGGGATCCCAAGTTGAAGGCCAACATGGGCTACCTAGGGAGTTAGAGGCCAGCTTGGACTACATAGTTAGACCTTGTACCACACACACACACACACACACACACACACACACACACACACACACAAGTCCAATGTTGTCAAATGGCTTCCTTACAATTGGTTTATGAACTACATATTGGAAATGAAATTTATGTTCAGAGAGATTTAGTGGCTCATCCGAAGTTAATATACCTATAGGCACAGCATAAGGGGTTCATAAAGTGTGCTCTGTTCCCTGGTCCACGAGTCTTTCACAGTCCTGCGGAGGCCACATGGAAGAGGGGGCCAGGGAGAGAGGACGGCTCTGGGGATCCGTGTCCTCAGCTAACTGGTGATGCAGCCTACGCCTCCTGAGCTCTGAGGTGCAAGGCTGCCTTCTGTCCTTCCCCCGCCCCCCGACACCGGCGGAGGCCGGGATAGAGCCACACGGGCTCGAGCCTCCTTCTCTGCATCATGAACATGAATGCTGTGACGTGCTCCCACTGACGTTGGTGTCTGGAGTGACAGATTCTCCGGCTGCCAGCAGCGGAGTGGGCGGATCCTCTGCGGCCGGGCCCTTCTTGGAGCAATACCACCCCCAGAGCCGCCTCCGCAGTCTGCTCCGCGGTCCGCAGGCACCAGGAACCGCTGGAGGACTCCGCGTGGGTGCGCAAGCCGCGAGGCGGAGACTGCGCGGAGGACTACAAGTCCCACAATGCCTAGGGCCGCGGCGGCGGGGAAGGAGCGGAGCCTCAGGTGTCTGCGACCTCGGCGCCTCCCGCCCGGAAGTGCCCGAGGGACCGCGATGGAGCTGGCGGGGCCGGGAGGTGAG